TTTTAAGAATGTATATCTATATGTCTATCCAAAAATGAAATGTCAACTTGATTTCTTAATACGTGTTACATTATTCATTATTGGGTCATGAAGACACTTTCTAGACTTTCTATTAATTAATTTAAATTTTTTATAGATTGTTTATGCATTTCTTCCGGCCCAATAATCAATGTTATGGATCGCTGGATCGAGGTGATAGATCAGCATATCAATTTTTTATCAATTTCAACAGTTAATTATTAACGAACAACTTTCTTTTTTTAAAATTGGCTTCGACAAAGTTTTAGAGAATTTTATTACGCACATTTAAAAAAAAAATTCATTAAATTTGGTTCAGAAATGCAGTCTGAAAGGTAGTTTGTCATCGGAAACTCATTTGTCCCTACTGTGCGCCGGCTTAATACTCGCTTGTGTTTATAAGTTACTGGTAGAGCGAGTAGAACGGGCGCTCTCTCTCGCTGTCTCGCTCGCTCTCACGCAGCGGCGAATTTGGCCGACTCGGTGCCAGTAGGTGTCTGCTTGGTGGTAGAAGTGGTGGGGCGAGTTTTCCGTGGAGCCAAATGTGCATCACTGTTACCAGGTGGTTTCTCGCGCGTCGGACAAAACGGTAGGAATGCGCATCATGGAGATATTGCGGATACTCCAAGTCCACCTCGAGAACATGTCAACCTGTCGGTGAATCTGTCGTAATGGTCGTAACATCAAAATTGTGTACGTCGTCAACGTATCGAAGATCAGCGTATGGCAATGGTTGACACATTGCCCAGCCACAAGTTGTTAACATCAATATACATTAGGTATGTTGACGGTTTCGATGGATCGTACGACTGCATGTACTTGTTGTTGGCCTACGCATATCTGTAGAACATTGACTCAGACCACCACGTATACCACGTTCGATGAATAGAACCATGTCAACGTCGATAAGAAGTTCAAATTTTACGCTTGTATACTTCAACATCGGGTCCTACATAAAACCTGATAGTGTATAATAGTACGTGGGATTGAGTCCATAACTGGTAATTCAATTATCCTGAAAATTTTCAAAAATATTAGCCAACAACAACACATCTGATTGTAAGTATAGATCTAACAATAAGTATAGGGCAGGATATGAATTCACCATTAAACGCGGTGTTTATCTTGATATTATCGTGTCTCTGTATAACGTCTCACACACGTTCCAGCAGCACTATTTCTCTCGCATCTTCGAGGAATTGGCGAGGCTCGATGTGTCCAGAGTTTATCACGGCACCGATCAGTATACAGCTTTTAAATGCCGTTCCGATTTCACGCCATCAGAGCCTTGCGCTGTACTCGGCACTCACTTGCACAAAACGTCCGCGCATCTAATCCTTCAAACTTTCAAGCCGCGCGATACGAGCGTTCAACGATTGTTTCAATCGATAATCGCGGACGTTTAACACGACTCTGTTCTTCCAGCGATTCGATAGAATTATCGCAACGCTGTTCCCATGCGATGTACTCTTCTCGCGTATTCAAGCGGCTTGCGCCACCAAATCACACTCCGTTTAATCCATATTAAAATGTATTGTTATTCACAGTCACTAAAAAAGTATAATTTTAATATCGACAGGGCAATAAGAGAGTCAAATAATTATCAGATTAAAATTAAAAAGTTATATATATTAAAAAGAAAAACAATTATTTTACATTTTACGCATATTTAAAAAGCTTCCCATTACAAAAATTCACAAAATACATAAACAGAATTTGACTTTGTAGCACTATTATTTACCTTTTATTAACTTTTTATCAGTTACCCTCTGACCGTCTTAACAGTCATACATGACTAACGTCAAGCTATTTTTCTTTTATTTTAAATAATTTGAAAATCAATTTTATCTCTTAACAATTACTATAATTATCATTTTAATTTTATAACGTTTTGACTACATTTATTTAGTACTAACAATTTTAATGTGCATTAGTGTGATAATATGCCAATAATTACGACAAACTATTGGCTTTACGGATGAGTCTTTTGTCAGAGTAACGATATTGCTTATTTAATTAACGTTTTCAAATGATTTTAACAAATTAATCGTTATTTTAAAATATCCAAATGCTCTCTCCACATGGTCTTTCAACCGTTTGTGAGCAATTTTTGATGCTCTGGGAAAATTTTTATTCGGCCTCTCAAGATCTTCTGACCATTTTCGATTATAATTTTTATTGCGTTTTAAGTTATTCTACAAAGAATTATTAATTTTTCATTCATCTGAAGATGGGTTAATCTAGTAGCCGAAACATGTTATGCAAATTTTTGTAATGGGAAGATTTTTGAATATGTGTAAAGTGTAAAATAATTGTTTTTCTGTAATATATGTAACTTTTTGATTTTAATCTGATAATTATTTGACTCTTATTGCCCTGTCGATAAATTAACTTTGTTTTTTATTATAAGATTATCCTTTACTTTATTATATTAAGTATAATTTTTTTGCACAATCACGTTAAATGTTTTTCACATTGTGTAAGTAGGGCATAGATTGCACGGTAATATTTGATACAACGGATCTCGACATTCCTTACAGTACATACCGTCAGTAAACATATATTGACTAGTAACATATCGAACGGCGTAAAGACGTGAAAATAAATCATGCATTCTTATAATGCACGATGAGCAAAACTTGTCACGATCTGAAGAACGGTTTGAAATGTAATAAAAGTATATGATGCACATCCTATTTGTTCCATCCAAAAAGTATTGACCTCAGCTCGCGTTATAGAATGATTTGTTATTTTAGTATGATTAACAATATCACTGCCACTGTCACTTTCATAACATGACTCCGAGATGCCATAATCTGATTCTGATTCTGATTCTTCTAAATCAATTTCAAATTCTTCTTGAGCTTCATATTCTGCTTCTACTTCTACATCTCCACATTCCATCTCCTTGAGTAAAAGAATTTAAAGAAAATTCGACAAAAATTGAAGATGCGCGCTTATGTATTCCCTCGAACCTTTCAATTTCACTATTGATAGGGAATATACCGATCTCTCCACTTTTATATGCTAAGGGTAGGGTTTGCATTTGGTGAAAATTCGAGAATCTTTCCTCATACATCTCTTTTACTTTGTACCCTCTAGGTGATTCACAGTAGGGTCTAAAATGACGCCTACACTAATAACTAGCATATCCGTAAAAGACCATACCAGTAAAATTCCACATTGGATATACTGCCAAAAAAACCCATTTTTTAAAAGACAACATGGGAACAGATATGCTTTATTGTCGTTAGCGCCGATCCCTTAGATAAAAAAAAGTTCGATATGGTCAGAGTGCATTCTTAGTACATGTGTTATTGCATTGTTTAACGTAGGTTTGATGGCAGTTATATTAAAGACAAAAATACTAACTTGCATGTTTGTAAAGGATAAGTAAAATTCCACATTGGAAAGACTGTTTGAAAAAGAAAAAAACGTAAAGACAATACATGAACGAAAGAGAACTCTAATGCATCAATCGCTCAGTGAATAGTTTCCACTACAGTCGCTGTAGAAAAAGATATCTACGAAGGCACTTCGAACGCTAATCGATACTTGTAAGTTTCCGTTATTCTGTGCAAAATGAGTATAAATAAACAATATTTTTCATCGATGGTGCATTTATCTCGTGGTAAAGAACTTGGATTTCGAAACGTGCTTATTCACAATAATACGTGGTGAACCAAACATGAGAGATGGCAGATATGTGAAGATATCAATGCGTATGATTCAAATTATGATGATTGTGTAAATTCAAATCTTCATACGTATCACTGTACGATTCATGGTATTAGCGATGAAAGCTACATCGAAGCTCTATCACGTATAGACATTGGGTTGAAGAACACATATTACTTCTATGTTATAAAATGTGATAATCCTTTTGTTGATGTTAATGATGTTTATATTGAAGTATTGTCAGCTCACACACGCGAATTGGAAATAACTATTGATGTTAAAATAATAATTTCCAATAATAAATTTATTCCGCTGGAAAATATGAAATAGGTAGCACTTATTGAAGATATAGGCAATTATGCCGATGAGGGGAGCCAGCCCCGATAACCTTGACCTTGACATATGTTGTCAAAGTCATGACCCTGAGTGACCTCCAACAAGTTTTAGCCATCGCTCGTTATTCGTTAGGGGGGGGGGGGGGGG